TGTGGCTGCCCCATTCCTGGCAGTGTTCAAGGCCAGTTTGGATGAGGCTTGGAGCAACCTGCTCTAGTGGAAGGTGTCCCTGCCCATGGCACTGGGAGCCAGTTAGTGCTAGGGACTTCTGTCTGCAGTCAGAATTCCAGCAGTTTGGAGTTTAGTCTGTACAGTGTGTTTTTCTTTACATATATATAAACATTTTACATATGTGTGTGTGTGAAATCTATGATCCATCTTTGCTGCTTTTTGTACTTGGTTATTGGACCTTTGAAGGAAAAACTATGAAGGGTTTTTCTTAGTTCCATTTTAACTTTGCAGTGATAAAAGAAATGCCAATGATATTTGATAATTGCTTTTACTTAAAAATAAGAATACATGAGAAACATGTAACATGCAATCGCGTTTTGACGTACTGTAGTAAGTTTGAAAAGTGCTAAAAGGGAAATCTGAATAAAATCTTTCTATTGATTTTCTTCTTGCATTATCTTTCAAGTTAGCTAATTTTTCAGAGAGCTTTTGAAATGACTTACTCGGATTGAGTCAGAGTGGAATTTTGCTTCCATACTAGATTATTGTAATTAATTATAAAATTGAGTTTAACCTGTCTAGGTTGTCAATATCCAAAGACAAATGCTAGAACTAATGAAGTACAGGAAAGATTAGTTCTGGATCTTGGGGATGCTGTCTCTCAGGTGCCGGTTTTGTTCTGGCTTTATAAATCATTACCACTTCTCTTTTCATCTGGGGAAATATATATTTGAATTGAACAAAGATGTTTAGAAAATCCTACCAAAATAGGCAAAGTTGTTGCCTTAAAAGTTGTTGTCTGCTTAAAATATTTTTACATGTGGAGATAAGCTGCAGATAGTTTGGCCTCTTGACCAGCGTATACAATTTTAAAAGCCAGTGAGAGCAAAAATGAGTATCACTGGAATTTATGGTGACATTTTGTTTAGGTGGAAGATGTATCGCATTCTTGAAATACCTGATACTGTGTAAGGTATTTCCTTATTTTACGTTTTTTCCAGAAATCCTAGGCTACTATCCCTGTGAACAAAGCCTGTATGGATGCATTCACATGCAGGCTTCATGATATACCCAGTTGCTTGGCTTGGTACAGGTTATCAAACCAATATTTCTGTACGATGTTGTGATATAAACCCCCATCATTTGCATTTTTAATTTGGGAGAAGGTCTTGTAGCATTTGGTTCACATAGCTGCTGCAGAATTTGAGCACTGTTTGTGCCTGTTCTTGATACCTGAAAGGACGTTTCTTCTGCCACACACAGGATCATAGAATCATGGAATAGTTTGTGTTGGAAGGGGCCTTAAAACTTATCCAGTTCCAACCCCCTGCCATGGGCAGAGACACCTTCCAGTAGAGCAGGTTGCTCCAAGGCTTGTCCAACCTGGCCTTGAGCACTGCCAGGGACAGGGCAGCCACAGCTTCTCTGGGCAACCTGTGCCAGCACCTTCATGACACCTTCATGGTGAAGAATTTCCTAATGTAAAATGGCTTACATGTTATCAAAAGTGCCCCCACTCCTTTTTGAGCACTGAAAATGAGTGTTTTGCAACAATACTATAGTAATAAGTGACAGCCACTCCAAAGGAGAGGATTCTGTATTTACATAATGAACTTCCCATAACAAACAAGATAACCATTGGTGTCTTGTGTCATCAGTAATGAAGTGATAAAGCTATGTCTGACCCAGAGGAAGCGAGATCCCAAAGTGAACATGCAAGCTTGAACATTCAAAACTTGGTTCCCTGTAATTCTGTGTCTTGCTTCCCTCACTTCAAACTTGGCATCTAGAATGAGCAAACTCCAGTTACAATTCAAACAGTGGTTGTGGCACGTGTGCTCTGGGGTACGGCTGCGCTGATGCCTGCGCAGCATCAGGATCTGGGGCTGAGAGCTGTATTTTCTCAGATGTTTGCCCAGATGCTGGGTTTCTTCAGAGATGAATAGGGTTAAAGATGAGGGGATTTGCTGGAAAATGTGTCAGCATTTAAATTACTCAAAGCCCAATCACTAGAAGGAACTTCCCACTACTGAAATCAAAGAAAATTACTGTTCTGAAGCAGTGAAAAGGTCTCCTGCTTTAGAGAGATAATGTTCTCTCGGCATCCAGAAGGGCATGACATTTTTCCCTTGTTTGATTATATTAGGTATATTAAACATGACCTCGATGTTTAAGGTTGCTCAAGCTGCAAGAGTTCAAAAGATTTTTGGATAAGATTTCTTCAATTTATTTTATTAAGCCTCTGCTATAATTGTAAATAGTCACTCTTTTAAAGAACAAATAGTAAGAGGTCAAATATTACATATTTATGATTCTGTATTTCATTGCAAAGGGAATTTCTCAGGAAAAGGAATGTAGCTATGGTGGTTAGAAAGATATTTAAGAATCATTGGTGTACAAATAAAAAGGCTTTAATTCAAAGAAAAGTGTATAGAAAAAGTGTTCTGAATGTTGACTCAGCATAAAGAGAACTGAAGAATACTAGTTTTTGGCTCTAGGTGTTCACTTTTAGAAGACAGGTTTGATTAAATATCATCAAAGAGACAAGGAATGGCATCAGTGTTATAGTTAAAGGAGAGATGATTTTCTAGCACTTTGTAATTTAAGATTGGCAGGCTTATTTTTAAGTTTAAAAATCATAGAAATAAATGAGCTTTGTCATTCTTTATGGTGTTTCCTGATTGTTCCAAGTACTAAGATTTGAATTTAGGAAAAGGGTAATATAACTATTGTTATTAATAATAATAATAAAACAATATCCTTACATGCCTTTCCATAAAGTCTCTCTTCAGCTCTCTTGTAGACCCCTTTAGGTACTGGAAGGCTGCTATAAGATCTGGAGCAGAACTGGTTAAAATTTTCCACTGAGAAATATTTTTTCCTTAAAGTACTGTGGTTCTGTTTGATATGCAGGAAATGGTTATTACTGGTTAGAAAGAAAACCCCAAGGTCAAGGTTTGGCATAGAAAATACTGACACTTCTGCAATTTAAAGAGTTGTTTTATTTCTACGGTATCAAAAATACAAATCAAAACAAAGTGTGTGTTTTCATTTGGATGCTTAAACTATTGATTTGCTGCAAAAATGATGACTCTAAATCTCTTTGAAAGTTCTCACAGGAAAACCAAAACACTTGGAGCTCTTCATCACTTGCATATACGAGAACCAGATTGCCTTTCTAGCCTCCCTGGTGTAGTTGGTTAAAACTGCCTTAAACCCATAGTGACTGAATTTGAGTGTACTTGATTTGAAGACATGAACATCAGTAACATGATGCAATCTAAAATGAATTTTGCAGAAACCTCTGCTGGGTATTTGGGTCTGCATGCTGCAGGAGACCGGGGGCACAGGAGGGAGAGCATCCTGTGGAAGAATGTGGTCCTGCTGCGCTATACTCTCTGTCCACCTCCAAAGGGTTCAAAAGGCATTTTTGTTGATATTTTCATTTGCACAGAGTGGGATTTTTTTCTCTTTTCCCGAGTGTAGGAGGGACTGAAGCAAACTACTTGACAAAGTTGTGTTTAAACCAGTGCTGTTAGTCCCTGGTGAGACCAGAATAATATACACAGTGCGTGTTGTTGAGTGAGGCAGCTGGCTCCCACTCTGATATGTCAGGATTAATCCAGTATGTTCTCATTCAATTGCTACAGCTTTAAGTTCTTCACAGCATATTATACTAGAGCAGGCCGTAACTCATACAAGTAAAGTTGATCTTACGTGTCATGCCTATAGACCCTCCAGCCTTTCATGTCTGACCTTTTTTTTTTCCAGAGGAAAATGCCTTGGCTTTACATAGCAGTAGTTTTCCTGGAGGAAATGGGCTGAGGTAGAGAAAATAGTCTTGTACATGTGCTGACATATACAACATAGTGGTGCAAAGGGGCAGAGAAAAATCTTTTGAAGTCATCTGTGGTCTGAAATACTCAACAGATTGGCAGTTGTGACTCAGTAAGGGTTTAAAACATGCAGGAAAATGCACAGACCATCAAGAATTCATGTCACCCTGGTTATAATGGAAAATGGAAGAAGGGAAACCAAATTCAGTGCTGTGTGGGATGATGGATTCTGTGTGATTAAGGCTTCTGCCAGTACCATGCCCACAGTAGGATTTCCTTTGTGACTTTCTCATGTATGCTTGAAGATTTAAGTGTAGGGGAAAACATCACAGATTACTTATTTGTGGATTAGAAAGGGGAGAGATTTGTCTTACTATTGTCACTTACAGGTGTTAGAGCAAATAAATGTGGCAGGATGCAGCAGTAGTTTCAGCTCCACAGAGCACAAAGGATAAACACAAGCTTGCTTTCTCCTCATATTGTGTTGAATCCCCTATGAGGGGCTTCAGGAAGGGCAATAAGGGCAAATGGCTGTGTGAGGTTGGTGTGATAAACCCAGGATCCAATGCACTGATGATTCCCAGGGCTGGAAATTCTCTTTTTGTTCTGTTTTGTCCAAGGAAAGACTTTATTTACAGTGATTTGTTGATGCTGACTTCTTTCGCTCATTCCCTTCTTTTAAGGGAACATTTTCTAGTTAAAGGCTGGAAGACTCAGTTGTCTTCTGATTACAAGCCCCTTCAAACACCAGATAGACTCTGCTCTCTTTATACAGGGCAGATGTTCACCAAAACCTGTGTATATTCAAACTCTGGGTATGTTTCTCAATAAAAGTTTGGTTTGGCAACACTTCCATCAGTCACTATTTCAGCCTCTTCCTGTGTGTATTATAGTCCAGGTATCAGGTCACAAATCCATGACTGTTGTCTTGCTGGTAGCACTACTCTTTGCATTGCCTCCTACCTTGGTCATTCTTATGCAGGGGACTAGTTTCCAGGTCCTGGTAAGGAGAATCCTTTTTCTGTCACCCAGATACCTTCTCTTGCGGTAAATGCCAACCACAGGGAACAAGCAGACCTTTGGGCAGTTGTAAATCACTTTCTCCATGCAAACACGGTTTTCCTTTCCCTTCCTTTCATACAGGTCGATAAAGTGTGTGGACAGCCCAAACAGCAAGAAGGGAACCTGTCATCAGACAATATAGTGCCAGTGAAGGAAGCGACTGCTGACACCCAGACATTTGTGACGGCTCACGCTAGTCTGAACAATAGAAGAAGGTAACCTTAAGGAACAGTTGCTTTGAAATAAACTGTCTACCTCACAGTTTGTATTAATGGCTTCTGGCACCATAGTGTTTAAGCCACAGCCAGGGTTCTGTCACCTTGCCTCTGTGCTACCCAGCCATTGCCATTACTGATAGTTACACAGATGTCTTTGTGGTATTTCACTGCAGGTCTCTTCAAGAAAAGCTTTTTACAGGCCAGACTCGATGTCATTACTTAGCATCGAGGTATTCCTTGCTTCCAGAAACTTCCAGTGAAAATGATGAAAGCTTTTCCTCCATAAGGCCAGAGTAGTTTCCACAGTTGGGTCTCAATTAATTAAAATACAACTGGTAGGTCTTTAAGGACTTAAGCTTATCCAGGGGCAGAGGTGGAAAAGAGGAAGTGGTGAAAGGGAAAAACAGAAAGTCAGTACCCCATTTCACAGGGCTGGGGAGGAGTAGTGAGATCCCTGGCAATCTCCTTCATTTGTTACACAACAAAACCAGAGCAGATGCATGTATGTTTAGGCTTCTCATGTCCATCTTGGCTTCTGTTCTTCAGTTGCTTGCCAGCTGAGACACTAGATAGATGAATTACAGCCACTGTCCTGGCATGAGTGTCCCTGCTCCCGGATCTCCTAGTCTTTCTTTCACTTTCCCTTATGTAGCTCATGTTCGCTTTCCTCATTGTAAGTGGGGAGGGAAGAATGTCTTTGCAGTCCCACTCATGACACGAATAGATGTCAGAGCTAACAGACCATAAAATCACAATGACATATTTCTGGCTAACACGTTCCCTGTAACACCAGCATTAATCTGGAACAACCTCAGCAAAGTGAGTGGAATTGTGCTGGGCTTATGCCTCTATCTGAGAACAGTATCTAATCTGTGCAGGGGTCCATGTGTGTCTATGTTAGATAGGTGGATGACAGACAGTAATAATGAAATTTACATAGCCTGGATTCTGGAGTCTGTGGTTTTTAGGTGAGATTTTTATCCATTTCTATCTTGCTTCTCATCTCAGCTTGCATGAATGAAACAAACACTGCTTTGAAAAGTAAAATTTATTTATAGCAGCAATGTAAGTTTTTTGATTAGTAGTGGTATTTTTATCCCTTTGGAATTGTTTTTAAAGACACAAGGTCCTAGGCCATCTTCTGTATAACTCATTGACTTCACTGGGACTTATATGTAAGCAAAAAGGCAAAATTGCCAACCTATGAACAGGTAACCTCTTAAAAAGATGCAATTTGGTGTGTTTAACAGAATGACAGCAGTTCTTTCTCACCTGGGAGTCTGCTCCTTCCCCTTCCCAACCATCTAGAATTATTTGGATATTGACCTGCAAGACCTGTAGATGGAAAAGAAAATATATTAAAACTAATATACTGTAAATTAGGCAGCTCCCCCAAATTGGTCTGCACTCTGAAATTCATCTATCAAAAAAATCTAAACTAAAGCCATCCCTACATAGGTGGCATTCAAACATTACTGAAATAGTGTTGGTCGGTATTATGGAGAGCTTATCCACCAAAAAATGAATGATGGAGCCATGCCATTTTAGTAACAGAAGATTATTTCCAGATTTCCCATAACTTCTTATAAATCTCATGGTATGAAGCTTGTACTTCTGGGAATGAATGAAGCAGTAAACAGAGTGAAAAACAGTGATTGGCTACATTGCTGTGTTGTTCCTCATCTGTCATTTAATTTATTATCTATTACATATGCTATCAATAAAAAGCAATCTTGGGTAATGAAACTTTAAAAAGGATGGGTGAAATCATTCCTGCAGTGGGTTGTGTAAAATGCACTCAGAGTGATAGATAACTGCTATAGGGGATCTGGATTATGAGAGTAATTATGTGAGAATCTTTCTTGGTGCCATTCCTTCTGGTGATGTAAAAAATGGAAGAGCAATAATGTCAGATGTCTGCCAGTTTAGGTACAAGGTCACACAGGAAACTGGCCTGACTGGATGAGTCTGGTCTGTGTAGTAGGCATACTTCCAAATGATCCTTAATTCAAAGGGAATATGGAACATAACTCCTGCCTTTTAGAATGAAGAAAGAAAAAGAGAAGGAAGGAGCCAGCACTCCTCAAGTGAACAGACAAGCTGTGGTGCATTCCCTTAATGTGTCAGAATATTCCTAAGCTAAAAGAGAAGAACCAGCCTAGTTAGCACATCTGTAGGAGAAACCACAATAGAGTAGCTTCTTGTCTTTTCTGTAGTACCTGCTTAGAGGTACTGACCCTTAAAAAACTACTTCCAAACCTCTTATTACCTACATATGTATGTGTGCTTCTTTGCAAGGCTGGTTACAAAATCAAGCTCTGTTTCCAAAGGGTCCAAGAACCTCTGTTTTCAGCTGTTCAGTAGAGCCAAGGCTGCTAGTGCAGTTGAAAAGTGGGATGGTGAAGATGGTGTCTCTTTGCCTGACATCTGTCTTCTGGCTGTGTGTTTCTAAGTCTGGCTGGAGGCTGTCCTCGCCCTCCCCTGCTCTGCACAGCATGGTCCTGCATGGTCCCTCAATTCACAGAGCAACTGAATCCTCTTTTGTGGAGGTTGAACCTTTTTCTTCTCCTCTTACTCTCAGGTTCCTGGAGTATTTCTCATCTTTATTTTCCACTGTATTCTATTCCTGTATATTTTTTTGTTACACAACACTGTGAGGGACAATAGTGTAAGAAGCTGAAACTGAAATAAATGATCTTGTATTAAACCTTTCCTGATGGTTAAGCTGAAAAGCATAGATTTGATTATTGTTTTATTTTCCATTACACAATTGTATTCAGGGATTAACTAAAACTGGCAGCATTGCTGCTGCAGTAATTTTGTTTAATGTGGAGGTTCCTATAACATGTAGTAGAGATGAAAAGAAAATTAAAACCGTATGATGGTACAGGGAATGTCCACGGCATGTACAGAATTTCGATCAGTGGAATGTTACTGCTGAGTTCAGCACAAAGTACTATTCTGATCAGGGTCTGGTCTCCTACCAAACCTGAATACCTGTCTTTAAACATATCTGCTGCATGTAATATTTCAAACCACTAAATATAGACTGGTTACACATCTGTACATAAAAACACATGATGTTTAACAAAGAACTGTAACATAGAATTAACTAGGTTGGAAAATAAGATCAAGTCCAACCTTTACCCCAGGACTGATATTAGGTGGCTCATTGGAGGAGAAAGGCTTTGAAATGATATTTCATTGGGATTTATTTGATATAGAGTGAACTTACAGATCTTTTACACAAACATTTTTAGTTGCTTTGAGAATGTTTGAAGTAAATAGCATCTATTTATTTTAGATTATCTGTTGAGTCAAGCATCATGTTATTTTGTTAACATTTGCATATTAACGTGGTAGTACAAAACAGATTATTAATGCCAGATATAAAGTAACTTACTATGGAATTGAATTGGACATTTCTGACTGAACGGCCAAAGCAGAAATTTCCTCAGCTCTGTATTTCCTTTGTTAAAAATGGTCATTTCCTTTTTTTGACTGGCTGTGTTGCAATCGGTGCTCCAGTGGTGGCAGGTAACACTCACCTGTTGCTTGGTGCAGGTCATAGAATCATGGAGTTATGCAATAGTTTGGGTTGGAAGAGACCTCATAGCAGCCCTCTCCAGGCTGAACAGATCCAACCTTCTCGGCCTGTTTTCATATGGGAGGTGCTTCAGCCCCTGATCATCCTTGTGGCCTTCCCCTGGACTTGCTCCAACAGTTCCATGTCTTTCTTACATTGGGGACACCAGAACTGCATGCAGTTTCCACTGACATGATTTGATAGCACATCCTGCTCTACTTACACCTCTACTCTCATGTATAAAGAAATGGCAACAGCTAGCGCAATGCGTGCCTTCAAACAGGTTCAACAATACTTGCCCATGCAGTTAACTCTTACTGAAGATAGTAAGGACCACCCTCAGCAGCTCTGAGGACACCCACAAGTTGGCAGCTTTGCCATCACCCTTTCTGAGGGCTAGTAGTAGGGGTGGCCACAGGAAGGGGGAGAGATTTTTTAGCTGGGCGTGTTATGATAGGATGAGGAGTGATGGCATTAAACTAAAAGAGGGGAGAGTAAGGCTGGATGCGAGGAAAAACCTCTTTACAATGAGGGTGGTAAAATCCTGGCTTGGATTGCGCAGGTTGCCCAGAGAAGCTGTGGCTGCCTCATCCCTGGCAGTGTTCAAGGCCATGCTGGATGGAGCTTGGAGCAACCTGTTCTAGTGGAGCAAACTAGTCTGTGGCAGGGGGTTGGAATGAGATGAACTTGAGGTCCTTTCAAACCCAAACCATTCTGTGATTCTATGATAAAACTACATCATGATGCTAACGTTAAAGGTAATTTTGAATGTTAATGAAGGGGCCTCAGGATATCAGTGCCAGAAAAAGTATTTGCACTAAATAACTACCAAGGTTATTTCCACAGTTCTTTACTCAATCTAAGGTTAGAGCCAGTCTCCCTGTTTTGTGAAGTTGGTTTAGTTTTTCTTAGTGGTACAATCTGACCAGAACTGAATAGCAAAAAATACCTGTATTTACATTATTCATTAACAGGCAGGAAATTGTTCATTGTACCAGAAAATGAATGCCCTTCCCACAGTTTCCAATCTAACCTGTTTGCCATTGTTTTCTTGCATAGCTTCATATATTTACAGTTCTTCCATTTGGTATCAGCTGTAGATAATTTAAGTACCACTGAATGGTTCAGATTTTTGCCCTGTGAGCTGTATCTGTAATTGTGCTGCGATTTGAAAAGGATTGGAAGAAACAACCCCAATTGTTTTTTAATTTCTTTTCCCCAGTATTGCATTGTCATTTTTAATTGCATCTATACTTTGAAAAAATCTCATGACAATTTTCCTCCCCATTTGTTTTCTTATGTTATCCTATGCATGTGCTTGTTGACCTTTCTTCCAAATAATTTTTACTTTTCTCTTTTGTTTCTCATTCTCTTGCCCTCATTTGCCTGAATTCCTGCTTCTCCCCTACTCCCCAACCTCTCCCGGTTGATGCTTATTCTCCCCGGCCTATTCCAGTTCTCTGCCTCTGAAAGCTTCAAAGAATGACAAATCAAGAAGTCTGAAAAAAGTCTCTCGGTAAGAACGGAACCAAGGTGACACACTTTGTTGTCTCTACACTGGGCTCCTCTCCATTGTAAGCTGCTGCTTCAGCTGTAATATAGAACTTGGCAGACTTCTTTTATACTGCGGGATGCTGGGAAACTGTGTGTTTTCTACCCTTAGTTTTATCCTGATTCAAAGTAAGTATTTCCACTCTTTAAGAGTAGAATCCTGTGTTTCCTAAATGCTGCTTTGAACTGTCAGAGCCCCACTCCGCTGAAAGCAATAAGGACTTCAGTCTCTTGGGGTTTGCTGAGGAAGACAAGGTTTAGACTGTTAAAAGGGTGCCCTTTTTCTCCTTCAATGAAAGCTCCATTTTAGAACCTTTAAACTCTTTAACACTGATGTCAAGCCTCTCATAGCTGATGCTCCCAAGCTGTTCTATCAGGTAAGTGGCTTTTCTGGGTCTAGCTTTATTCTAGGAAGACTTAGAGCTCCTATTTGTAAGTTAGTGGCCAAGAGGTGGAAATGGTGATTCCCTGGTTGTAAGCCCTGAAATTCCTACTTTTTTCTTTCCTAAAATAACAGCTTTCCTGCATTAGTTCCTTAAGACCACGTAATTAATTTAGCATGAGGAGAGAGCAGGAGCGGCCATGAGGGGACAACAGTGGCAGCCATGAGAGAAGAGCAGAAGCTGCCATGAGGGGAGAGCAGAGGCGGCCATGAGGGGAGAACAATGGCAGCCATGAGTGGAGAGGAGAAGCTGCCATGAGAGAAGAGCAGGGGCAACCATGAGGGGAGAGTGGGAGCAGCCATGAGGGGAGAGCATGGGCTGCCATGGGGTATGTGGGATGGCCTTGAAGGTAGATCTTGAGGGGAGATGAGGAGTGACCAGGAGAGGTAGAGGAGGCTGCTATACAGTGTGGGTCACTATGGGGGGCAGATGAGGGGTGGCTGTGACTGGAGATCATAAGGTGCAGCCATGAGGGAAGATCAGTTTTCCCCCAGTGCCATGGGTTAGTGATGGGCTTGGCAGTCCTGGGGTAATGCCAGGTAATGCCAGACTCGATGGTCTTAAAGGTCTTGTCCAACCTAGTTCCTTCTATGATAAACCAGGATGTGTCCTTTGGCCTTCCCAGTGGGGCTCTTGAGGGACTTCTGAAACAAGCAGGTAGCTCCATGATAGCTCTAGTTCAGTTTGTCTGCATCTTGTTCTCAGGATCTTTAACATCTTATACCAAACAGGAGTTTTTAAAGCTGTGGAGACAGGGTAATTTCTCATTCTTAGATGCTCTCGACTGTGTGCTGAATTAAAACTTGGTTTGTTAGAGTTTATTTTTATGGCTACCTCAGCCACATATATAATATAGGTATAATCAGCTCATACAAGAGGCAGCAGTTTGCCCACAAGGCATTTTTCCATACATACATGATCAGAAATGGGGTGTTTGTACTGGCCACAACTTTTGGTTATTCCCCAGTGCAGCAGACACAGCCTCCTCTTCACACGTGAGACCAGAGATGATGAGAGAGAAATTTCTTTCTAATGAGAATGTGACATGGACAGTGCTGATGGGGAGGAATCGGCCCCACTGCCTCTCAAGAAGATGACTTCCTGTATTGTTGCTGCATGTGTGGGGTGCTTCTAGCATGTTGCAGGTTTTGTGATGGGGCGTTAGCTTTTGGAAGCCTTTTCCACCTAGGAGGTTGCTGAGAACATTCTTCATTCATCTCCCGTGTTTGCAAGAAATAGAGAAATACTCACTTCTAGTAAGAAAGAAAAGCCTATTCCTTTAAGGATGATGCTTGCTCATAATTTTTTAAATCTGTTTATAGAGAAACAGTAGGTGTAGACTTTTTTCAGGTTTTGTGTGAGATGCGTTAATGTAATTTGTTAAAGCCACCCTTTGTGTGTAATTATTTGTATTAAGACTGGACAAGTAAGACTGGGTGAGATGTAGGAGCAGAAATACATTAGGAATAGAAATGAATCAACTTTGGTGACTTAATTCTATAAATCTTCTATACTCTAAATCTTGTGGAGGATTAAGTTGTCAGAGGGCTTAAACTGTAAGTTTACTGTTCTATTGTTAAATGTGTTCTTCCTATGTTACAGAGAGTTCATCAATTACATGAAGCGATCCCGAACCTTTTATGCCTCTATAGCAGAACGGCTCTGTGATGGAGACCTGGTGATGAGAGACAGCTCAACCTGCTGGAACGGAGAGGATGTTGTAGAAAGGTAAAGTTACGAGTAAAAGTTTGCTCTAATGGTGACTTCGTATCCTTCAGATGGTTTAGAAGCATTCTGAGGCACTGTTGCCAAGTTTCTCCTTCACAGTGAAGCTTTGCTTAAGTGAGCAAGGGTTTTGCTAAAATAAAAGGTTGTTAATGCTGAGGTTTATGTATCCATATTAAATACAGTGGAACACTTCCTGCCTTTGTAGAGCCCCTTCTTTTTGTTATAGGGAGATCTTGCCCTCTAAAGCTCAGTTAGCAAGCAGTACTCCAGTGACTGATGGGAGGTCCCTTCCAGTCTGCTTTTTATGGGCTTATTAGTGCAGAGCTGAACATCGTGTTTGGCCATAATTATGAAATATGCAGCTCTTCCTGTAAAGGCGTTTGAAAAACACAGTGACAAGACCTGACATTTCTTTTCAGATTTTTTGACAGACTTTGATTAACAACTGATTTAGGAATTGAGCAGCATCCTTACCACAGCCTGTTCTGCAGGAATTCTTACATAGTAACCGTTAAGAAATGCACTGTTTCGTGTTGGCAGAGCAGCTACAAGATCTGTAGGGTGAAAAGATCTTTCTAGTTTGTCAGCTACTTTTTTCCCCTTCTGTATTTTATCACAGTCTTTCCCATTACCGTTTAGAGTCTAAACTGAAAATACACTTGCATCCTCCATGAGCTAAACTTCTCCCTGCCATTTCTCTTGCTCTTGTATAACTTGAGGCTATGTTTCCCTGAAGAGAAATAAAGGTGTTCAGAATACAACTGTATCTGTTACAATCACTGTCAAAGTAGACATCAGTTTTTGCAGTGAGAGCTGTTTGGAAGTATGCCAGTGAGTGGTTTCCACAAATGTCTTTTTGTCTAAACATAGATATTCCATGGGATTATGTTGGCTTTCATGATGTTTCTTTCTGAGGTGTATTTTGTGGTCTGTAGCAGTTGTAAAAGATAAAGTTCTGTCATTCTGTTTTCTTGCTTTAAAACAATTCTCATGATTGAATCCTAGGGAATCATTCCAATGTGGAGCAGAGAGATGTTACAATTATAGGCTGTCCCATTAAAGGGAGTTTTGACTCCCACACAGCTCTGCTTAGATATGTCATGTGTAAATAACTTCACTTAATTCCATCTGAGATGTTCAGATATAAACGTGTTTAACACATTCAAAGAGGACTATAAAGTTTAATATTTCAGCATATATTGGCATTAAAATTAATTGTAGAATTGTATATTTGAAGATTTTGGCAAAAAAATGCAGTACTCTAAATATTACTGTACAGTGACTACATTTATTAGTTTTTAGTGTAAAAATAATGGAGAGGAAGTGGGAAGAATATCAGTACTTCTAATCAGTATTTCTATTTCAGAGTCCCTTTTGCTGGTAACATATTGTTGGATGCACAGTTAAGCTTGGCAGCTGTTTTCTGGCCAAAAATAAAACAAGAAATGTATTTTATATATCAATTCTCTGAACAACACCACCAACAAAATTGGTTTATTTTTTTATGCTATTTTGCGGGAATTAGAACTACAAAGACCATCTGTAAGCATGGCTTAAGCCAATGTAATATTTATGCTTCTTCTGTCTACCCTTTTTCTCATCTGTCCTTGAGCTATAGCCATTTCTAAGTTGGAACCCATATATAAAAGTTGGATCAGAAGATCAAACTTAGCTTTATTTGGAGCAGGGAAAGAAAAGCCTTTGCAAAAGTGAATCTAGGGAATTCTCTGTGTGTTGCCTCTCAGTTTCAAGAGGAAATTCCCTGAGTTTCCAAATGAAATGGTCTTTTACTTATTGCCAGTTAGCTTGGTCTGAAATAGTATTCATGATGGCAGAAGAAGTAGAAAGACTCTGCTGCTCAGACATAGCATAGCTTTCTATTGTACAGGTAGAGATTCCACCATTATTTCCAGTGTGTCTCCTTAGGAGTGTGTATGGGTAGATTTTACCTGAAATGGGTTTCTGTGAGTGTGGCAGACTCTGGGACTGGTATTGCATTAAAGCACTTAACACAGGCTAAAGTCTTCCTTCTTATTTCTCCAAATCTGCCTTGGTTTCATACTGCTATGAGGGGTTAAAAGGTAGTAAATCTATGCTCATATCACTGAAGTCTACAGGTTTGACCCTGACTTGATGGGGAAGGAAATTTGTTTACAGCAGCTGCTTTTTAGATCGGAATCACTTTCTCAGGAAATTTCAGGTGTAATATTTTGGGGTCAAAAAATTGCGTGTAAGAAAGGCTTTTAAACCAGATGACTGGGAATATAAGAGAAAGAGGTTTTGTAAAACCCAGTAAGATCTCACACTTCTTGTCCTTCCTTCTCTCCTTTTGTACTTCACTTGTTTTTCTTGGGATTCTGTGTGAAGTGGAGGTATTAGGTGACACCTGTCCACAGGCTTGAGCACAATCATGTTGTGGGTTGTTAGGCTCCCAGGGCCTGTGCAAGCTGGCTGAGAAAGGAAGTGGCAAATCACAGTGAATTCTTGCTCTCAAAATGTTTTCCTTTAGAGACTTCCAATTTTTATGAGTTTAGCACTTTTATTGTCCCTTTCCTCCTTTCCTTAGGCTCCAGCAAGCAGCCATCTGGATATGGAAGACAGAGATAATTATTTAGCCTTAGCATACTTAAAAAGCATTTAGCTTCTATTACACTTGTGCCATCAGTGTAAACAGTTTCTGGAGATACTGTGTGTTGTAAAATACTGTATTTTTTTGCAATATTTTTGGGGCTTTAGGGTATTTTCCAGGGCTTGCAATGTTTTTGTTGGTGTAGGGAGGTTTTGGTGGAGTTTTTCTTGTTTGTTTTAAATCCTGTAGAATAAACTAAATACTCTAGGTTGGAAGCGACTGTTTCAGATACAAATTTGCCCAAGCTTACCCTTTAGAATGATGCAGAACCCTGCCTGGCTTTGAATGGAATCCTCTGTATCCTTCTGTCAGGATGCTTGAGGAGTAAGTGTTAAAGCTCATTGTCATGTAACCAGCTAAATGTTAGTCAGGCTGCTAATGACCTCCTGTACAGCCCCAGTTGGCCATAGGAAGGAGAGGTGACAATGGTTAATAGCTACCCCTCACTACATGTAAACTTATCATGTGGCCAGAGCACCCCAGTTTGGGGATTTACTTCTTGCAGTAACAAGCAAGTTGTACTAGGACAAGAGCAAAAAGTAGGCAATATTAATGAAAACAGAGTTGAAACCATTTACTTCCACATTGATGCTGTCTGAAATATAGGCTGCTGGCCTAGGTTATGGTGAATACTTGGAGCAGTAGAACTGACCACAGAAACTGAACCAAAGATGAAGATAGCTCAGTATTTTTCTTATTTAGGTCTGCTGCTAGGCAACTGTTTGTGAATAAAGCCTCCTGATGGACTCAAACTTGATCACACAGGTCTGAATTTGCCCCATGTTCTTCTAATGTCTGTCTTGTAAAATGAACAATGGCTGCTCTGAGAATATTTAAGTGTTATTTGTACGTGCAGGTCTGATGTATTAAAGATTGAATGTGATAATTTGCAGTAGGTAAATCTTGCACTTTCACATGAAGGAGCAAAAACCTGGGCTTAGGCTGACCAAGAGAAGAATATTCACTTTGTCTGGGCTACTTCAGGTGTTGGGGGATTTTGTGTTCTGCTATCTGAACTGGTCTCTTCCATGCTCATGAAGGAAAATCATTTAAACAGCAGCAAAGGACAGTACTGAGCCCTGTTCTCCCAGGTCACTTTTGTCAAATGGGAAAATAAATCCGGCATTTTTGGTCACTGAAAATCAGACGTTTTGTGGAAGTGAAGACAGAAGAATTTAATCTCAAAACTGTTTACCTTTCTGTTATAAACAGACACACTTTATCTGCTCTACAAAATGTATCCCTATTAGTTTGGTCAGATTGAGATGGATGGATCAAAACTGGCTTTGTAAGTAATGCAGGGCCAATGCCAGGCCAAAAAATATGAAGGAAAGGGGAAGAGTTGCAGGGAGATCAGTTAAGTAGTGTAGGCAGGAGGTATGTGGAGGTCAGCTGTGTAAACATGAGGTAGTGGGAGTAGTCTTAACTGTCCTTCCAGCATCTCTGGACTAAGGAGGTGCTGAGTTGATTGGAGTAATCTTTACTGAGCTATCCCATTCTAGAGCTCCCACCATCAGGCAGCAAAGACCAGTCAGGCCAGGCTGGATGTGGTTCTGTTCACCCTGATCTAGTTGAAGGTGTCCCTGCTCATTGCAGGGGGGTTGGACTAGATGACCTTTGAAGTTTCCTTCCAACCCAAACTATTCTATGATTCTATGATCTCTACCAGCAGTAGCACTGCAGGAAAGGCATGGAGACTTTATTCATTTCTGTGGAATACTCTGGATTTATGCTTAGTTGCCAAGAAGGAAGTTTCTAGAATTAGAGCTTTGGGAATAATCAGGAAGAAGGATGGAAAGCCAGTAAGCACTGATTCTACTCTCCTGCTTTATCTGGGGGCATTTTGTAAATTTACAAATGTGCAGTCCCATGAATTAAAAATATATATTCTGAGATCCATAGCTGCCTTTAGCTTGGAAGGGAGCTCAGGAGGTCTCTGGTGCAACTTCCTGCTCAAAGCTGGAGCTGCTATGAGATCGTATCAGGTTCCTGACTGCTTTATCCAGTATGGTCTTGAAAAACCTCCAGTGATGGGGACAGCATGAGCTGCTACTTGTTCCACTTCTGGATTGTCCTCATGGTGCAGAAGTTTTCCCTTATATCCAGTTAGAACCTCTCTAATTTCAAATTTTATCTGTTGTTTCTTGTCCTCTCACCATTTGCAAGCCTGAAGCTGTTGAAGGCCATGCTGACTGCAAACTAAGAAGTGGCAGTGCTTAGCAGACTCTTAATGGCTGACAGATGCATTTAGAGAGACAGCAACCTGCATTATTTCCTGTTTTTACAAGGTGAGAGACTTCACTGATGATGGAAAGAAGCAATTATATTATAAATGCAAAGCACCATGCGCAGGATGATATAAGAATGTTCT